AAGATGAGAAGTAAAAGTGGAATCGTAGATAACACAACCGTATTCAAGCGCGGTTCTTACACAAGTTTTATACAGATGACAACGAAGAAATGAGGGCGAGTCACGAAAGACTCTTGAGATAGAGCCTGTAGCGTTCACTTAATTACCATTTTAAAGAAAATATTTGTTCTCCAAAAGAGCCCATCTTTATTCGAATGCGTCCTTACAAGCTGGATTTACCGGCTTTCAGTGTAAAAGTGGAAGAAACTATTCAAATACTTCCATTTGTGAGCCTGTACGACTGCCGTTTAATTCTTCTTGTTTTAATATCAGACTCAAACAAGTAAAATTTGACTTTTAGCATGTCCGCTTGATCAGATAAGGTTGAGGAAAAAAAAGAATGAAAACAAACTGAAACATTCGATCCTTTACGAAAACAAAATTATTTTCACCAAAACTGCAACGCCTCTCTGCAAGTTCTCCCGTTTGAAGGTATACAAGGATGCGTGTGAAAAATTCGAAATACCTGCCCGGTTTTTCAGATCAGTGCGTAAAATATTTCAGTTTTTTTCCAAAAACTTCATGGGCCAAAAAACAGTCTCATTCAACACATTGAGCAGTTCTTTTGTAACAGTAGTCATGGCGCTCTGCTATTCAGTTCTTTAAGGATATAATATCCTTTTGAATTGAATTTTATCAGGTTTTTCCAAACATTTCAGGTGAAATCTCCGCCCTGGATATACAAATCGAAATTAAAAAGCTTTTGGCTTTTGACTTTAGACTTGTCTGTATCAGATGAACTACAAAGTTAACATGTTTTTTTCTGTTTTTTTCCTGTTGTTACATTCATTGTTATTTTAGTGCGATATTAGTATGTTATCGGATAAAAGTTTAATATTGATATTCTCTTATATAAATCATCAAGAACTTCTTCGTTGTTCACTTGTTTGTCGTCGATGGTATCAATTATCTAAAAATGGTCGACTGTGGAGAAGAGTTTATCTTCGTCCGGAATATCATGGAGTACATGTAATAAACGCAAATAAATTTTTATCCGTAATTAGTAAACGTTTTACATTAGCATTACAATACATTGATTTACCTATGGATCTAATAACTGTCGATATCTTACATGAATTGGCCAATAAATGTCCAAATTTAAAGCATTTAACGTTAGATTTTTCTGCTGCTATGCAATTACATGATTTTCATGATCTAAATATGTTTCCATGTAATTTAAAAATAATATGTATCTGTTTATCGGATGTCATATTTTTAGAAGGATTTATGAGAAAGATATATCCATATTTATCCTCATTAGACATATTACATATTATCGGTAAGCTTACTTTCTGAAAAATATAAAATTATATACTTAAAAGTACTTACGAGGTTGGCGTTCCACAGTAGACATTTTTCTGTAGAGCATGCGGACATGTAGTTGTTTTTTAGTTAAAAACCAATTATTTTCGCATAATATTACTTAATTATGTCTCAAATGCTAATATAATTAAAAAATAATCAAAGTTGAAAAAAAGATTTTGTTTTCAATGAAAAATCGCTAAGGCGAACACTTGCCCTAAATTGTTTGTAAAAGATATTTTTATTTGTAAAACTTAAAACTAACAGACTATATGTCATTCGACAAAGTCTCATGCGCTGATTTCAGGTATGTCATTAGTTTTCAATAAAAGTCGTTTTTGAGTGGAGAAAAGTAGATTTTACTGCAAAAACCATATGAAAGTCTGATAGAAAAATCGCATTCATAATGAATGCAGAACATGACCACGGATATTTTTGTATAATTTTGAATCAGATCTGACCTGCGCTAACTTGCGCGACCTCATTACATTCTAAGCACCTATACAAAACGAGGTTCAGTTCGGGAATTAATTTTTTTCTTCTAGATCCTAGGATCAACGTGGCGTTCTCTTTTACTGATAGATAGTTGAGTGTGTCTAGATTCAGAATAGATACTATTTACAAATATGATTCACCTTAATGAAATAGAAGATATTTTTTCTCCGCGGTCGCTAGTATTTAGGCTATCTTTTGCTGACACATTTTTCCTAAAACTGAGCACTTGGAACACAACTTCTTACACCATTAAATAGCATGTAGATCGAGGTATATGGGACACTATTTGAATCTTGAAAAATGTCACTTTCAATTTTTCGCCAGATATCCGCCTGGATGCTCGTTATGCGTTCCTAGGTGTTCTATCCACTTTTTTCTGTGAAACGTATGTAATCTGAGGTTATTTGTAAATAACTTTGGTTGTACCAGAATATTTGTAATTACAATCATAAATATTTTAGTACAAGAGAAGTTTTCATTCTCGGATATTTTCTACGTTTTGAAAGGAAATTTTCTTACTTCCCCTTAAGAATTTGTTTTATAATAGATTCGTCTCAAAATCTTTTAAGAATTAATCTTTCCGCTAGTATTAGTTATCCGACTTTTAAATTATATCGGATAAGCACTATTTCATCGAAAGTGTTGAAATCTACCGTGTTCGAATAACTTGTAATTTATCAGAAAAGATTTCTATGAAAATTCATGAACGTTTTGTATTTAACTATTTGAGAAGTATTCACAAAGCTTGGAGAATAATGGCAATTTTTTACTGTATAACAAGTGACTTGCGTTGTGGAAACCCACAGAAGAGTCCATGTTTTTAGCATAGCGGTTCGCTTCTATTTTTGAAGAGATTTTCGGTAAAGGATGCACGGCCTGGCCAGCTAACTCTACCTGCGTACGAAATTCCGTGACGTTTTTCTATGATTTTGTTTTATTTGCAGAAATTTTTGAAAAAGTCAGAACTCAAAAGTAAATAAACTATTATGTAGACAATTTAATTCTCTATCGACTGACCTGATTTTGAAACGTTTTAGCGAAAATCTCTTGGTTAGGAAATTCAAAACACTGAGAGCTACTTTTT